GGGATGACACATTCAAAGTCCTGAAAGGAAAAACTGTCAACCAAGAATTTTGTATCTAGTAATCATGTCCTTCAAAAGTGAAGGAGAAATTCAGTCATTCCAAGAAAACAAACCCAAAGATTTTGTGGCTTGCAGATTTGCCCCACAACTAATGTTAAAGGGAGTCATGAAGGCTAAAATAAAAGGATACTAGACAGTAACCAGAATCCACGTGAAGAAATAAAGAGCACTGATAAACTTCATAGGTAAATGTATAAAACAGTATAAACATAGCTCTTTTAAAAACATTTTTAACTCTTTGAAGGACATATAGCAGTTATTAATTATAAAATACAATTAATATATACAATTAATCATAAAATACAAATAATATTTGTGTGAAAACAATAGCATCAAGGAGAGAGGAGGGAATGGAGCTGTACTGGAGCAAAATTTTGTATGCTATGAAAATTAAGTTGGTATTACTCCAAATAGATTATTTTAAATTCAGATGTTAATTACAATGCTCAGAGCAACCACTAAGAAAATAATTAAATATATAAAATTAAAAGCAACAGGGTAGATCTGAGGATTTTAGTGCCTGGAATTAAGGACAATCATTTTAAAACAATGCCAACCAAAAACTCAAAATTCAAATTCCTGCAACAGGGAGTCCATTTGTTCTAGTGTGGGTTATGACCACCATTAGGGTCAAAAGAGTGGGGTTCCAAGATTGGAAGACCTCCAAATTGCATGGGAAGGACAGGAGGAAGCATTTTCCCAAAGGAGTGAATTTTGGCAGAAAAAATTAATGATAACCACTAAATGTGTTAACACTTTGTTAATAACAATTTTGATTATCAAAATAGTCTATTTAATGTGACTCTGCCAGATAATAATATACAGAAAATTTGTACTATAATATAAACACAATGGAGAAAAGTGGATTAATCGTGACTAAATATGGCATTAAAGAGTAGGATGATATGTCAAATTCTAGAATAAATTATGAGACACTGAAATAGAAGATTGGTTTCCTAAGAAGTTGCAAAATCTGGTCTAGTTTCCTAAGCCGTGTATTGTCTCTAATCATGAGGCATGTGAAATTAACTTGATATCAACTTGAATAAGTTGTAGTTGATTTTTAGAATTCCAAAGTTAAAAGATAATAAAGAGAATGCAGAAAGTACTTGCAACACATACAACATATTAAAGAGTTACTATCTTTAATGTGTAAGAAGTTCTTACACTTTGAAAAGAAAAAGTCCAGTAACTCAAAAAGAAAAATGAGCTATGTATATGAATAAGAAATTACAGAACAGAAAATCCAAAGCAGGAAAAATAGCTTCACTAGTCAGAACTACAAACTACCTCTATTCACTTGATAAAATGGCTAAAGTGCTACAGAGCAAATCATTACAGCCTTTTAAAAGGCAAACTGCTAACATTTTAAATGGATCAATCTCATACCTAGGAATTAATCTCTCAGAAATTAAAGTACCAAAGCATTTGGAGACACATATAAGGAGGTTTATTGAAACGCTGATGGCAGTGGCAATTTTTTTTAAAAAAAGAATTTGCCATGAACAGAGGAACTTGTGAATATATTGTGGTATATCTAAGGGATCCCTAGGTGGCACAGCGGTTTGACGCCTGCCTTTGGCCCAGGGCGCGATCCTGGAAACCCGGAATCGAATCCCACGTTGGGCTTCCGGTGCATGGAGCCTGCTTCTCCCTCTGCCTGTGTCTCTGCCTCTCTCTGTGTGTGTGTGACTATCATAAATAAATAAATAAATAAATAAATAAATAAATAAATAAATAAATAAACAAACATTATGCCTCTAAAGTAAATGGATTAAAGCAATACGAGTTGAATTGAAAGGATTTTAAGACTTATTATTTCATGGGATGCCTGGGTGGCTCAGTGGTTGAGTGTCTGCCTTTGGCTCAGGTCATGATCCTGGGGTCCTGGGATCAATTCCAAGATCAGGCTCCCTGTGGGAAGTCTGCTTCTCCCTCTGCCTATGTCTCTGCCTCTCTCTCTGTCTCTCATGAATAAATAAATAAATGTTTTTTTAAAAATGATTTATTATTTCATGAGAAAAGAAGCAGAGAAGTATGTATACACACTATGATATCTCATTTCATAAAATAAAGACAAAAGCTACTATATATATTACTATATATATATATATGAAGTTATTTATGTTCACATGGTTAACTTTTTAAACAGTTGAAAGAGGGGGAGAGTCAGATCAGAAAAGATTAGAAAACAGTGTGTCTGAAAGAAAACACAGCATGCCTACAATGTTTCCACATAGGCACATATAGAAGATGGAAATGTACATAATAAGATGCACAAATAGGGATCCCTGGGCGGCGCAGCGGTTTGGCGCCTGCCTTTGGCCCAGGGCACGATCCTGGAGATCCGGGATCGAATCCCACGTTGGGCTCCCGGTGCATGGAGCCTGCTTCTCCCTCTGCCTGTGTCTCTGCCTCTCTCTCTCTCTGTTACTATCATAAATAAAAAAAAAAGAAATTATATAAAAGATGCACAAATATACGATCACTGAAATACAGTGGTTATTTCAGGGTGTGGGAGTTTATGTCCTTCCTTATGCTTTTATGGACTTGAACTTTTATAATAAGCACAGAGTTTATATACAACCAAAGAATAGTTATTTATTTTAAAATGTGTGTGTGGCCAATTGCCATGGGGGATGAAGACGAGTCAGGAAATATACCTTGCCTTGCAGGCCCTGACTGTGAGGAGACAAGAAGACACAACCATTTGTAACATACAGCTGAACTTAGTGCTGCAACAGAAACACGGAGCGCTGGGAGAGACATTAATTCATCTCACAGCTGACTGGAAAGAACTGGGAGATCTTCATTAAAGTAGAAGGCATCTGAGTTGGATCTGGAAGGCTTGGGAGAAACTCAACAGGAAAATATGGGGATAAAGGAAAATCCAGAATAAGGGCGGGGGGGGGTCAGAGAAATAAAGAGGGGCATGAAAGACCCAGGGGCCATTCAAAGGATAGCAACTGACCCAGTTTAGTATAACTGGAACACGGGTGTTAAGTGGACAGAAGGTAGGAAGCTGGTTTGCAATTGTGAGAGTAGTTTAGAATTTATTCCATTGCAGAGGGAAGTTACTGCAAGTTTGGGTTTTGGCTGGGGGGATAGGTAAAGGTAAGAGGAATATTTTATCAGGAGAGCTAAGACATTCTTAGGTCTGTGTTGGGGGTGAGGAGAGACAGGAGGCAAGAAAACCAGTTAGGAAACTTAAAATGATTCAACCCAAGGTAATAAAAGTCTAACAAGAGCACCAACGTGGGAATGTATAGGAGGGAAAAGATTCCAGAAACAGACCTGAGGTAAATAGGGAAGGCCTTGGTGGAAGATGGAAAACCTTCTATTTCAATCTGAGAAAGAGAATGCTGGGATTGGATGTGGGGACCACAGCCAAAGATTCCAGTATCTTGCAGAATGTAGAGGGAACTGTGAGAATGATGACCTAAAAGCAGAGAGAAATTCTGAGGTAAAATAAAAGCTGCACAGAGATCAGAAAGACAAATCCTCAACACAGAACTATAGAGCCAAAGATCTAGGTCTGCTCTCTCAAGTTGGCTGTCCTAAGGAAAAGATGAACCCCAAAGCCTTAACTAGAGCGACACCCAAAGTGGAGGATCAGATGGGTCCTCCTTAGGTTGTTCATGTTCCAAATGAAAGTGTCGGAGGTATAGAATGAGTGCTCTGGAAAGTCCTGCAAAACAATCTCACACATAATTCTTGCTCTTGGGCAATCCGGCTTTTTGCTTAACTGCTTTTAGATAACCCTTGGCTCTCCAGTTTTCCTCTTATTTTCCTTCGGTAGAACCCTCCCTGTGAAAAGAATTCTTCTGAGTAACTTCGTGTATGAGACATCTCAGAATGTCACTAGGGTCCTGCTGGGGAGGGAGCGGCCCCAGCTGGCTTTCCTCCCTTCCCCCCTTGCCAGCCAAGGGTATCCTCAAGGCACTCCTAAACAGGTGGCATTTCCCAACCAGCATAAATACGTCTGAGATTTCAAACTAGAATAAATGGAAATATGAAAAGTCTAAACAGATTCCAGAGACCCTTTCCAGATCTCCCACCCTATGACTCCCTCAGGGTGTCTTAGACGCAGAGGCTCATCTTTGAATGAATGGACATCTGGTTTGTGGTTTCCTTCTAGCATTCCTGGGGAAAGTAACGCCCTCCTCTTTCTGATTATTAAGTAAGTACGAACCCAGGGCGCCTGGGTGGCTCAGTGCTTGAGCGTCTGCCTTCGGCTCAGGTCGTGACCCCGGGGTCTTGGGATGGAGTCCTACATTAGGCTCCCCACAGGGAGCCCGCTTCTCTCTCTGCCCCTCTCTCTGTGTCTCTCAGGAATAAATAGATAAAATCTTAAAAAAAGAAAAAGAAAATTAGGGCAGCCCGGGTGGCTCACTGGTTTAGCGCCGCCTTCAGCCCAGGGCGTGAGCCTGGAGACCCGGGATCGAGTCCCACGTCGGGCTCCCTGCATGGAGCCTGCTTCTCCCTCTGCCTGTGTCTCTGTCTCTGTCTGTGTCTCTCATGAATAAATAAATAAAATCTAAAAAACAAATTTTAAAAAATTAGTACTTAGCCGCGGTAAAGATTTTGGGAAACCTAGAGAGCATAAAACAAGAACACTACTTGGAGACCGCACGGCGGGAACCGAAGAGGAGCCCTGCGTGGAACCGTCTGAGCCCCGCTCCCCGCGCGCCGGTCCGGGGCGGCCGAGGGTCTCCTCAGACGCGGCGGCCGAGGCGGGGCTGAGGCGTCGCCAGGCCCGGAGCTCGGGGGCGGCGGCGCGTGGGGTCCGCGGGCCCGCGCGCCCTCGCCCCGGGCCCGACCTCGCAGCCAGCGCGGGGGCCGGCGCGCCACGCGGGGCGGCGCCAGGGGAGGGGCGGGAGGCGCGGCCCCAGCAGCGCCCCGGGCCGGAGGGCGGCGAGCGCCCCGCGCGGACCGCAGAGGCCGGCGCCGCCGCCCCGCCGCCTCCACGCCCGGCCCCCCGGCGCGGCCATGGGCGCGCCCCCACCCCCAGGCCCGGCGGACCCGAGAGAGCCCCGCGCGGCGCGGGAGGAGACGCGGTGAGGTGAGCAGTCGCCCTCGAGGATCCCGAGCGCGGGATTCGGCGGGAGCCCTCCTTGGACGCGACGTAGCCGCGGAACGTCAGACGCTGACAGGGAAGGGCACGGTCCCCTCCGGACCGCGGGCGGGCGGGCGGGCGAGCGACTCTCCGGCACCTGAGGCGAGCCCCGGGAGGCTCCTCGCGCGCGCCGGCGGCGGCCTCCTGAGGGGAGGGGGGGCGGGGGCTGCAGCCGCGGCGGTGGTGCCCAGTGAGCGGCAGCCTGCGAACGGCCGGGGAGCCCACAGCCGGGATCTCCCTCCACAGCCTCGTCACCGGCCCCGCAGGAGCGCGTCGACCCCGGGGCGCGGGGGGCGGGGGGGGGGGGAGGGCGCGCCCCGAAGTGTCGCCCCTGGCAGCCGGCCCTGCTCCGGGCAGAGGCCCTGCAGCACCCCTGCGAGCGCCCGTCTCTAACTCACCTGGAGGCCGCGTGTTAGGACCCGGCGTTTGCCCGGGGGCCGACCTGAGCCTACTGGGGGCCCCCCCCCCCCGCAGATGATGCGCCTCGTTTTGAAACCGGAGTTCTGTTCGCGTTTCAGAAGAGAAACCAGCAGGCGCTGACTCTCCCCTTTGTCGGCTGTCTAGGAACGAGCTTGCGTGAACAGCAGGCAAATTGCATCCTAGCCTTTCATGAAACGTCTTTCTTTTTATTTTATTTTAGTTTTTTTTATCTTTTACCTCTTTATTTTTTTGAATTTTTTTTATTGGAGTTCAATTATGAAACGTCTTTCTTGATATACAGTCCTTTAAACCAGGATCTAGGGGATAACATTGAATTATTGCATCCCCTAGATAAAAGCGAAAAGATTTTTTTTTTTTTTGAGTAGGGGTTAAAAGCTGGACAGACTGTTGAGTAGTTGTCTTAGGCAGCAAGGCCTGCAAAGGAAAATTAATGGTTCTCCCTCAATGGGGGCGTTCCGCACAGAAGGCCTTCCTGCAGGAGAGGTAGTGGTAGCAAGTCAGTTTGAGCCTGGAGAATAAAATGCGTTGGGCAGGCTTTACTTGAGTTAGGGATCTGTGAGCCTGGGGAGGGGGTGGTGGTGGTGGTGGTGGAGGGTGCTCTCTGGTCTCTGTTTTGGCAGCCTAATTCCACTTTCGGGCCACCATTGTCTCTGGAGTGCTCCTTGCATTAACCTTTCTCTTCTACCGCCAGCTTTTAGCTTCTCCCTCTGGCTCAATAAGTCTAGAGTTGAGCCTGGTCAGAGGCAGAGTTATGGTAGCCTGGGGATAGACAGCATCAAGGCCAGTGAAAGCAGAATTGTGGCCTAGGGGGATCTGAGGGGTGAATGGGATGAAGCCACAGACTTTCAGCCTAGAAGGCTCTCCAAAGAGTGGGAAAATAAGGATTGAGGGAAGGAGATTCTCTGGGGGAGGACAATAGGTGCTTACAACTTGTTTCCTGCTGAGGATTTTGATATTCCCCTTTTTTGTTGTTTGAACACAAGGGCATTTCCAGATGGGGTTGAGGGAGTGTGCCCTCCCACCGCACAAATGCACATTTTACTGCACTCCCTTGTAGGTTTCCAGAGAGTAATTAATTGGGGGCAGGGGGAGAGAGAAGAAAGAAGCCCCAAGACTTGCCAGAGAGACAATGGAACATGGGCTGGCTGGGGCAGAGAAGTTGGATCTGAAAGTTGGAATGTTCCACATTTAGTTAAAAATCAGAATCTTTATTTGGCAGAGAAGTGTTGAGGATTATAACTTTCATATTTAATTGCTGATTAATTTTGCCTAGTAAAGGACACAAATCCCTCTCTTTTCTTTTTATCTCCAACGATTTATTATGAAAAAATTTCCGACACAGGAAGAGTTACCCTGCCTTACTTTTTATGAATTTATAACCATCTTGATACATATATTTGTTAGTGAAAATCAGAGTCTGAAATCCAGAAACATGTGATCTGGCCCTAGACAGAGCTGGAATCAGAAGGCAGTTAAGAAACAGATGTGTAGGGACACCCGGGTGGTTCAGCGGTTGAGAGTCTGCCTTCGGCTCAAGTCATGATCCTGGGGTTCTGGGGATGAGTGCCCGTCGGGTTCCCGGCATGGAGCCTGCCTCTCCCGCTGCTCATGTCTCTGCCCATCTCTCTCTCTCTCTCTCTCTCTCTCTCTCTCTCTCATGAATAAATAAATAAAATAAATAAATAAATAAAATCTTTTTTAAAAAAAGAAATAGATGTGTGGGGGCACTTGGATGGCACAGCTGGTTAAGTGTCCCACTCTTGGTTTTGACTCAGGTCATGATCTCAGGGTTGTGAGATTGAGCCCACGTTGGGCTCCCCTGCTCAGCAGGGAATCTGCTTGGGATTCTCTCTCCCTGTATCTCTGCCTCTCCCTGCTTGTGTTCTCTCTCTCTCTCTAAAATAAATAAATAGAATCTTTTTTAAAAGAAAGAAATAGATGTATGAAGGATGTTAAGATTTTGAAGGGCACAAAATCTGGATCTTATTCTGACTTTTCCCTAAGAATAGGGCAGCTCCCTTACTTTCCTCCTTTTACCCATTATTAAAACATCAGTTAGATTGTGTTACTCCTCTGCTTACACTCTCTAATGGTTCCATTCACGTTTTGAATAAAATCCAACTCTCTTCCAGGGTTTACCAAAGCCTGATGCAATCTGACCTGTTTGACCTCATATTTTGTCACTCTTCCCCTCTCTTGTTCTTCCTTCTTCTCCCTGAGCACTCTTCCTTCAGATACTTGCACTGTTTCTGTCCTCAACTCATTCAGGTCTCTTTTCAGATGTGACCTCCTTGATCAGGGCTTCCCTGACCACCTGATCCAAAACAGGCCTTTGTCAGTCCCTGTCCTCTGACCTTGCCTTATTTCTTCATTGCTTTATCATTACCTGGAATTTTATAGTATAGCTGTTTCTTTGTTAATTGCCCAATATCCCCCCCACTCAAATGTTAGCTCCATAAGGACCAGAAATTTTTTTCTTGTCTTCATGGCTATATTCCTGTTTAGCATATTATAAGCACTTAATACATAATTGTTTAATTAATTAGGCAATTAAATGACACAAACAAGGCATTAACTCCCATAAAGGTTGTAGAATTCTTGGTAAAATACTAGAAGTTCCTTTTAGGTAATTCGAGTCAATCAATATTTTATAGGTAAATGATGATCCTGGAGATCAGTGGCCTCTTGTATCCTCACAGTGCTTCTAAGCTGAATCCTTGCTAGAAGCTCAGCCAGTTTTGACAAACTCACATTCTGAACAAGGGACAAAAAATTTCAATCCCAGAAATTTCCCTCATGCCCCTCTCTGGTCATCTGCACCATCCAGAAGCAAATTTTGTTATGATCCATGTTATCATAGATCTGTTTTTGCATTCTTGAACACCCGTGGAAGTGCATTCACACTGATGTACTTTTGCATTTGACTTATTTTTGCTCAACATGATGTCTGAGATTCATCTGTGTTGTTGAATATATTGGTTGTTCATTTCTTTTTATTTCAAGATAATATTTCATCATGACTATCTACCTACCATATGCTTATCTATTCTCTTACTGATGGGCGCTTGGGGTGTTTCCAATTTAGGACTTTTTAAAATAAAGCTGCCATAAATATTCTTACAGGATCTGCTTCATCTTGAGTCCTGTGTACTTTATTTGAAAATCTTTGTGCCAGCTGTGCTGAGGGAAGTGTGGCAAGCTTACTGGGGCTGTGACTGATGTTGCAGTGAGTGCCTTCTCTAGACAGCTCCACTGGGCACTGGCTTACTTCCCACTCCAGAGAGAGAACATTTGGAAAATGAATGTCCATGCAAACTGGGGAGACCTCAGGAACATTTTCAGTGTTTTTCGATCCTTATATGGGACTCTATAAAATGCCTGCTGCCATTGCTCTTATGTTCCCTTTCTCCTCTCAGCTCCCTACCCCCGTACAAGTTGACTCTAATCAGCCACTCAACATTATGCTATCAGGGAGTTTAAATATTTATGAGCAAGAGTCTTATTCAGAGCCTGATAAAATATTTATGTGTTTCCATGGGGCATTGGTTTCCATCTAGACTTCTCAAGGTGTTTTTCTGAGGCACTTGTCATAATCATGAGATATTCAGACAGAGATAGATGATATAGCCAGAGAATAGCTGGTTATTGAACCCCACCTTGCAGCATACCCTGCTTTGCAGAGGTGCGGGAGGATGAGCACACAGAAAAAAAATAGGCATTAGTGATCTCTGGATCAAGAGAAAGACGGTGTGTGTTGTTGAAAATGGATTGAAAAAAGAAGGGCCTGCTAATATAGCACTGCTAAAGATGTGAATCCAGAGGGGATTGTGGTAAAGAACCTGTTAGAATGAGGAAGAATTAATGAAGGTGAGATGCATTCATTCCAGATAGAAGCATGAAGGAACCAGCCTGTAAAAGACATAGTCTGTTTGACACTGATGTAGACAAGGCTCATATATGACAACTATTCTGAATGCTATAATTATCACAACTTATGAAACTATGGGGAAGGTATGGAGGCTAGCCAGGGTTTCCAGGTGGAGAGCAAAGAACTAGCTATTTCAGGAGGGATTGTTATTTTCCTCCAAGGAAGAAGTGTCTTTTGAGTAGAGTTCTGGAGGAGGTGTGGTGCTTTGACTGGCAGCTGTAGTTGGAAGAACTGTTCCCTGAAAGACAGTAACTTGAGCCAGTATTCGGTATTCGAGTCCGGGCCAAAGTGCTGGTGCAGTTTGAGTGAGGTAAAGAGGTGGAGAGGGTCAGGTCAGGGCAGATTTTCAGTAAGAGATAAAGCAGGAGAACTATAGGCCAGCTTGTCAAGAACACGAGAGTATGGACTTTAATCTGTTTGTTGTAGGGAACCATGTAACTTTTGACCAGAGACTGGGTCAAAATTTGAGCAATTCCTGGGAGATGCATCCAACCCAGGCAAGACTTTGAGGTCTGTTTATGTCCAAGGCGCTTCCAGATTATTTTCCTGTGTCCAGTCCAGTCTAGAGACTGTGCAG